ATTTCAAAAAACAGTTTTCTGATGTAAATTGGTAGTCACAGCTATCACACCCCATCCCCAAAGGAAGAACTGATGAACAAGATGAGTTGAGAATTCTGGTTGATTCCAAATGTAATTTAATGACAACATGTCATAATTCCATAAAACTATGGCCTGTTTAGATGGAATTTTGTGTGTATATGGGATGGGGGTATGTGCGTATGGCATGTGTTCTTGAAATGATGTTCCTTTGAACAGCCAAAAATACTGTACATAAAACTAGAAATGCTCTTTGAAGCAAGTCTTCAACTGACCATCATCAATGTAGCATGTTTGCTCAGTGGGCTAGCCTTGGTCCTCAGGGACAGTGTGTGACTCCAGTGGTCTACCTGACTAGTCTCTTGCCCAGGAGCATCTGGGACCTCTAGTAAAAACTCAACAGGTGGGTTTTAGGGACAATGTTATGTTGAGGTAGTTCTTCCTTTGTTACTTGCTATATTCCTACTAAATGCAGCATTTCAATTAGATCCAACCTCTTATGTTTTGAGAAAATTGTAAAAAGAATGAAATTATGCAGAAATGGCCAATATCTTTTATTAATCTGTTCTTTTGGAAATTGTCATGCACTATAAATTGTGTATAGTTAAAACATATATATATATATGTGTGTATATATATATATATATATATTCTTACATGAGTAAAAAGCACCCTCTCCAGCAATCGTATGTCATTGGTATTTGAAGAGAATTCTCAAATAACCCATTGCTGCTGCTGTTTTTGGATTGTGTGGGTTTTTGTTTTGTTTTTGTGTGGTAAATTGCTATTTAAAAAAAAAAAAAGGAGAAAAACACAACTACTGTTTACAGACTGAAAAATTACTGCTTTTTATACTACTGAGATCCTAAGTTAAGACTCTCCAAAGCAAACATTTGGTTTAAATCATTTATCTGATGTGGATAAAAGGTAGAGAAATTTTTAGTGTTCTCCAAATAATGAAAAATGTACAGATGCCTAGCTGTGTTGCCCATCAATTTTGTATATTTTCATAATTTTAATTGTTCAAAATTGCATTATATTTTGCAATCACTATGTTTAATCTGGATTTGTCTTTCATTTTAACTTTTAATATAAAAAGGGGTTTCAGTGTATCTATGGCCTTGTTATTGAAACTCTTCCTACTTATTTGATGTGGTTTATTAAAATGGGAAGTATGTATTCTTCCCTTTTCAGAGTAAGCATAGCAAATCTACTTTAAACTGGGTGGGTCAATTTATATAAACACCTTTATTTTAGGTTGGCATTTCTACCTGGTTCATTTTTGTTCAGATTTCTAGAAGCTACTTTTTAAATGGTATAATTCACCTCAATTTTGTATTGTTACATTTTTCAGCTATATTGTAGTATTTGTGAATTTAAAATTTATATTCCAAGGCCATTAGTCTTTTTTTTTCAAAAGTAGTACCTTGCATGCTCGCATTTAATATTTCTATATATATGTATTGAGTACTTATTTTACTTTGTGCCACATTCCATTTTCGGCTCTCCCGACATAATGGTAAATGAGACCATATATCCTTAGTTAGTGGCCTAGGTGGGGAAAGTGGCAAATATTAGCTTGTAATTAAGTTCTGTTTAATAAAATTAATCAGGATATGTGGTAAATTGGGTCATGAGAGGACACTTTGAGTGGTGCCATCAGACCTGAACGAGGAAGAGTCAGCCATGGAGAGAGGAACACAAGGTCAAAGGCTCTAAGGCAGGAAACAGCTAAGCATGTCCCAGTGACTGGTGGGGAAAAATGGCTCAAGTGGCTGGGACTTAATGAAAGTCCTAGAAAGAGAGAGGTAGAGATTGAGATAGAAAGCTGAGTGGGATCAGAGCAATAGGACTTTGAGGGCAGGGGAAGAATGAGATTTCTAAATTTGCTGGAATGTTAACTTTGCAGAAAGGCTGGTGATGCGGCTTACCCAAGAGTATGTGAATCCACAGGCTAAGACCAAGTTTATTCAGCCACACACACTGACAGTACAGGGAAAGAAGAGCTGTGTGTTTTTCTGTCCCATGGTTATTAAGTGCTCTTATTTGAGCCCTGAAAAGTCAATTTTTGCCTGCTTTCATCTCATTATTTTCCTTTAGCAAAAAGGTGGGTACTTGGATATACCTCACTGCCATCTTTAACTTACCCAAAAGGTAGGCTCAGGGTTATACTTTTTCATGCTCATTTTTAATTTTTTTAAGTTTATTTTTAAAGATTTTATTTTTAGACAGAGGGAGAGAAACATCAATGTGTGGTTGCCTCTCACACACCCCCTACTGGGGACCTGGTCCATAACCCAGGCACATGCCCTGACTGGGAATTGAACCCGTGGCTCTTTGGTTCACAGGCCGGCACTCAGTCCACTGAGCCACACCAGCCAGGGCTTCCTCATTTTTTAGATGCTGTCACTGCATGCTGCAGACATGTATTTCATACAAGTGGAGGGTAAGCAACTGTGAGCCAAATGCTTATGAAAGTTATCTGTGGGGTATCTAAAGAAGTTTATGCTGGGGCATCACAGAGCTTTTTTATAACCTCAGACTTAGACATATCCCAGTATATGGGTCCCAGGGAACGTACTGTTTTACATATGGAAAAGTTATTGTGTATGAGGTTACTATTAAGACCACCCAGTGGGGCAGAGGTGGAATAAGATTTAAACTCTAGCACTGAGGAAATGAGCTAAAATTCAGACCCTCCCCCTGACACACACACACACACACACACACACACACACACACACACACACACACAAATCTCACATTCTTAGTCTTGATGGCTGTGTTCAAATTCCCATTCTATCTTGGTTCTCTAATGATCAGTCTTTCCTGATGCAATTCTAATGCCAACATTTTGTGGCACCGATTAGGAAGGACTATTTGTAAACTAAAATTATTCTTGGCAATATTTGAGGTAACTTGCAAGTTCCTTAGGACTGTTCATGTTGGATCCAGGGTCTCATTTGCTTCAAGTTATATGAACTTCCCTCAAAATTGTAATAGATATTTGATTCTGGGAAACCAGTCCATAGCCTTCATTACAGATTAGTAGCATGTGAGCCACAATATTAATTAGATGCTAAGAAAAAGAAGGAAGGAATCCATTTGGCTTACGTGTTGGGGAAGACTGAATTTTGTGTGCCACATGCAAATCAGTTTAGACTCTCAACTGGAAACGGCCCCTCTTTAAGGAAGAGTATTTGATACAAAGAGCCTCTGACGTTTAATAATCTAGTCCTGTCCAATAGCCCATGCTTCTTCAACTCAAGACCCAAGGCTCATAATGATACCCAGCCTGGACCCATCCAATGAAGTGCCCTACATGTTACCATCTCTCACCATTGAGAAGACGAGACCACATTCAGGTTGGTGGAAATATTTAGTTTTTTCCCCGATCTACCTTTGTCTTACTCTATTTTCCATAAGAGAGTTAATACTTAGTTCTTTGAAAGTGACTATTTTCGATAGGTAAGAAAAAGCTACCCCTGGCCAGGTAGCTCAGTTGGTTAGAGCATGGTCTCAATGCGCCAAGGTTGCGGGTTCAATCCCCACTCATGGTACATGCAAGAACCAACCAATGAATGGATGTATAAACAAGTAGAACAAATCAATATTTCTATTTCTGAAATCAATTTAAAAAATTGATTTAGAACAGCTAAAGTAAGTTTATCAATGAGAAGCATCCAAAAAGATCTCCCAAAATTTTCATTTAGAATTGAAATAATGAGTAGGAGAAATACTGTAATTGTTGGCCCAAGTATATATGGTGGTGGGCAAAAGTAGGTTTACAGTTGAAATACAAATAAGTAAATACTACTACAAGAATAAACTTTCACATCCTCAAAACTAATAAATCTACCCTTGCACACCCCTGTATATTCTTTTGTCAAAGGCTGAGTACTGCTCTGGCTGGTGTGACTCAGCACTGGCCTGAGAACCGGAAGGTTGCCAGTTCTACTCCCAGTCAGGGCACAAACCTGGGTTGTGGGCCAGGTCCCCAGTTGGGGGCATGCGAGAGGGCAACTGATGATGTTTCTCTCCCTTTCTCCCTCCCTTCACCTCTCTCTAAAAATAAAATCTAAAAAAATTATTTAAAAATAACAAAATTTCCCTTAAAAAATGTTGAGTACCTATGCTGGCTATGGGCAAGACTAGGTAGCACCTTGTACCTAGTTGAACTGTTAGCCTAAGTTACTACAAATGTTTTTGCTCCATCCAATTCAACACATGGATTTTCCTGCATTTTTTTTTTTTTTGTTTTGTTTCCAATGACTTTAAATACCAGTCTGATTAAAAAGAAGGGAAGGAACAAAAACAGTTTCACTTGCCAACTCCATTCAATTTAAATTTCTTTGTGTGTGCGCAATTAAACATTTCAGGAGCTGTAGTTTGATCTTTTCAAACAGTTAAATATGAAAGTGGGTATGTTGTGAAGTTTACCGTTGCAGATACTGCTCATCATTCCAGAGAAAAGATTTCAAAGTTAGTGCAATGCTCCTTTCTCCGCTTTTTTAAAAGTTGGTATTTACTGAGTGACTAAGTAACTTAGATGGCAAACTCGTTTTAAATTTTTACATTGGACTCAATTGTATCATTCAGTTATCTGAAATTGAACTTAAAAAAACCTAACATTATATCAGCAAAACTAAAGTTTTCCTATACATATGTCATGGAGTATGGAAAATAATTACACTGAGGTTCATTAATATTGCCATTCAGTTTTAAGGACAAGAAAATGTGGACAACGCAATTTACCACCCACACCCAGTCCACTTGAGTCTGAACACCAGTGGAGAGTACATAGGCAGGCCTCCGGACTGGGACCAACTTCCGCAGCGTTGACCAGGACAGCCCATTACCCTGGTACAGTGGAATCCATACCAGCTTGTATTAAAAAATAAAAAAAAGAGGGAAGCAGCTCATAGTCCAAAGTACAATTTGTAAAAGAAAACTGAATGGCTTCAGGTCCACTTAACCAAAACATGGAAACTTTAATTAGATCAGAATTACACCTGTCAAGGATGTGGGCAGTACATTCTTTATAGCACCAATTCCTTCTGAGGGGGAAATTCACAAGCCATCTGAGTTAAGTGTTCTAGTTGTACCTGGACTGGTTCTGGAGATGTCCCAAGCATGGTCATATCAGCATCAAATGTCTGGGCATGCTCAGATTTCTTACATTCCTCTTAATACCCCTTATTCCCCAGGAGGGTCTCAGAGCCAGCAGGTAACTCTCCCTCCCCACCCTCACCAAACTGGAAAACACGGGAGTGCCTTTTTACAGCTCCTCCTTCTCAGCCCCCTTTTTCTGGAAAGCAGTCAAGATGTTTAAGCTCTTCTGGAGCTCCTCCTTCTTCCCATCACTCATCTTGTTCTTCTCAATGAGCTTGGTGATCCGGGTCATCTCTGATGCTGGGAAGTCCTCACCTTGGTCTAAGACCTTCCCCATGATCTTCAGGTACTGCTCGGCCCACTTCTTCTCAGCCTCTTTCACACTTGCAAGGTTGTCTTGCCCCCTCTTCAAGAGGGCCTGGCGGGCCTCCATGCCAGAGGCCCTGATGAACTCCCCAGCAAGGGCATCATATGCAGGCAGGCAACCAGGCATACCTAGGTAGACGCCCTGCCCCTTTAGCCAGCGCTGGATGGCTCCAACCTTAACTGGCCCACTATATAGGACTGGGTTCTCAAAGTCCCCATCCTGGAAGAGGTAGAAGACTGGGTAGTTGTCTTTGTCCAGCTTGTATTTCTCACCCAGCTCCATATTCAGCTTGTCACCATAATCTGTGAACAGAAACCAGGTATGAGGAGCAAGACCACTGAGAACACAGGGCAGAAGACTGCTATGAAGCCTATCGGAGCTGAGAGGAAGAAGACACTTGGCTGTGTCTGAACTGCTTCTCTGCTAACTCCTTAAACATGAGGCATTAGCAAAGTCACATTTAACCTCTCCAAACTTCATCTGCCTCATCTGAAAGATGGTAATTCTTTTGAGTATTTATTATATGCCCACTGTGTGCCAGGTGCTATTCTTAGTGCTGAGGATCTAGTTGTGATGAAGAAGAATACAAAGCTCTCTGACCTCAAGGATCTCATATTCTTCTAAGGGTAAGAAAAAAGGTAATAAATGAACAAAAATGTTTAGTACCATGATGAAAATAAAACAGGGTGATGAGACAGTAGGTAGGAAGGCCCATTTCACATAGTCATGCCTGTGATGACACAAACTGAGGGACCTCAATATCAAGGAGCCAGACACGTGAAGATCTGGGAAGTGTCTATGGTAGAAAAGACTGGAAGTGCAAAGCTCTAAGGCATCAAATGAGCTGGGCATACAGGGTCTGGCAGAAGTAACACCAAGAGTGTGGTTGGTAGGATATATGAATGTCTTGCAAGAGATGGACAGCAATTTGAACTTTTCACCTAAAATGTCATATGGTGTGCTTGAGTGTGATATGTTACAGAATTACATGCTTATGATTTTGTAATAAAAGATTTGATATAGATTACCAGCTCACAAAAACAGAGGTACTATTTGTGCTGGATCCTGTATTTAAGGATTACAAAGACCAGTCTGGCCAGAGCTTTGTGAGACAGGGGAGTGTGTGGTAGGTAACATAGTTCCTATCACACAAGGGCTGTTGGGAGGACCCAATGAGGAGATAGTGTGCATTTAACTTGGCCGAGTTAAGTGCTTACTATGTGGCAGCTGTTAGTGTTTGCAATGTCCTACCAGAAAGGCAATAGCAGTCCCAAGGGCTGATGCCATGACTTGTTTCTTACAGCATCATGAAGAAATGGCCAAGACCACCTATCACAAGGTAACAGGAATCATGCGATTCCAATCCTCGTTCTCCCACTTTAAACTCTCCTATCTTGCGCAGGTTACTCTAAACATTGTTTCTTGAAACAATTAAAAATGGAGGCCACAGTACTTCATCATTAGTAACAGGATGAAATATATGTAAAATATTCTGTAAAGTGGCCTGGCACAAAGTCAACACTTGATAAATGTCAAAAAGCCCCAAGGGAGTGCACTCACAGTTGGGTCAGAATTGACCAACGGCCCTGGAGAAGTGTGCCAGCTCTCTCTACCCAGGACCAGCTTACCAGGGGCTGAGGCATTCCAGCTGGGAGGAAACAGGGAGGAAACAGGGAGGCAAGAGCCCACTGCACTGGGGAACAAATGCTTAGGCTGAATTTTGAATAAGCCACCCTCCGGCCCCCTCACGGCCTTGGGCTTCAGTTTTCCTTAGGTATAACATAGAGGTAGACAACACAGCTCATTTCTCATGTGGGGTTCAAGTGAAGATTAAAAATGCAGTGTCTGTATACACTTTACAGACCAAAAACCACTAAATGTTGGCCACTATTATTATTAAAGCTGTCACTGTGGTGGAGAGCTGCCCTTGGTTTAGTGGCAACTCTGATGGATTTGAGGTAAAGCCAAAACCCAATAGTTTGGGTACAAAAAAGCTGAAACAAAGATGGAAGAATAGACTATGCAGTCTCTTAGAGGCATGGCACCCCCTCAGCCACAGTCCCCAGCAAGGACAGCTCCAAGTTCTCATAGTGAGTTTAATGTCCGTAGGGGTAGAGGGTGAGGGATGGTGGATTCCCTCTCTGCAAGGCTGAGCTGAGGTTCTGTGGTCACAGAGTCTGCTCCAGTGAAGCTTTCTGTGGATACCAGGTTTCTTGAGAGGCCATGATCCCGTTTTCACTGTTCATGTGGCTCAGATGGAAAGGTGCTGGGCATTCCCCCTACAGGTAGGGAAATAATTCCTAGCTTCCTCCCTTTCTGCCCTCCCCAGTTGTCTGGACTTGCACATACCTGAGATCCCCACCTCTGCCACCAAGAGATCGTCACTGGAGGCCGAGTTCTCAGCCAGGCTTTTGAACTCATCCTGCTTCTCACCGTAGGGGTACTGAGTGTCGAACTTCACCAAGACGAACTTGCTCTTGGGAATGACCTGAGGATGTACAGAACTGAGCAAGTGGGGGTTCCAGGAACCTTTGGGGCTATCTCCCTTTCCCAGTAGACCTCTGGCTAAGAAATGGAAACCAAGCCCACAGGGGAGACAAGCTCTCACATACTAAGTTATTAATTCACCCACTGATTAATTTAACAATTTAGTGGTGCCTGCTATGTGCTGGGTACCCCATTAGGTGCTTGTTCACACTAATCAAAGACATATACAACGGTATCTAGAATAAACGAAGCTGTAGATGTTCTGAGGCCTTCTCCTCCAGGGGTCCTGTGATAAGGCCAAGGAGACTCACCGCACACAATACATTGGCACCTGTCATGCCCATCATCCCAGTGGGGTCTTTCCCAGTAAATAATGAACCAGTAAAATGACAAAAAAAAAACCCCACAACCAACTAGCCATCTATAAAGTTGTTGGCACCACGGAGGATACTTTGGCTAGGGAGCCCACAGTTTAAATTCTGCAATTTCAGGGCTCAAGGGAAGTTGCTGAGAGGCATGGCTTGGGACAATCCCCTTCCTAGACCACAGTTCCCTCTGGCTAGATCTCTAGGGACTACACTGTCAGGGCCAAGTTTTTATTTTAATTGTAAAATCCACTTCACCATTTCAGCCATTTTAAAGTGTACAATTCAGTAGGATTTAGTACATTGACAATGTTATGCATCCATAACTAACATCTAGTTCCACAACATTTTTATCACCTGAAAAGGAACCACGTACCACCCACTGAACAGTCATTCCCCAACCCTCCTTCCTCCCAATCCCTGTCAGCCACTAATCTGTTTTTGTCTCTATGGATTTGTCTACTCAGATGGAATCGTACAATGTGTGGACTTTTGTGACTGCCCTCTTTTGCTTAGCACAGTGCTTTCAAGGTTCATCCATGCTGTAGCATACATCAGTAGTTCATTTCTTTTTGTGGCCAAATAAATATTCCATTGTATAAATAGACCATAGTTTGCTTAGCCATTCGTCAGTTGATGGGACAACTGGAATGTTTCAAACTTTTGGCTATTTGTGAGTATCTGTTATGATCATTCATGTACAAGTCTTTGTTTTTACACCTGTCTTCATTTCTTTCGGGTATATACCTAGGAATGGAACTGGGGGTCATGTAGTAATTCTGTTTAACATATGGAGGAATCCCAAGGACTCCTTTTGATGGTTTCTTGTCCAATGTACAGATTTGATTTAACTAACTGCTTTTGGTCAGTATTGCTGCTTTCTCTTCCTCCCACTACTTTTTGTTTTTCTAATCAAATATTGCCAGTCAGTATTTCACCACAGGCTGATATCATTACAGTTTTTGTTACTCCCTGTTCCTTATTGCGTTGAAGTCCATTTAGTTTTAGGTTTTAAAAAATATTTCACACTGCCTACGGGCACAAGAGAAGAGGGAGAAGTCACGGCAACAAGTAAATCTTTAAGTGGTCACTGTCCCCCAAAATTCTGAGCTCTGGGGGCCTAGGAGCAGGAAAAACTTAAAATATAAATCAGATCACATCCCTCTGGCCCAACTAGGCTTATTTTAGTTCAATGCCAAACTCATTCCCTCTTTTCATTTGCTGTCTCTGCTGCCTGCAATGCCCTTTCCCCAGTTCTTTCCATGGCTGTCTATCAAAGTTCCGTTCAAACATCCCCTCCTAATGGAGGCCTTCTCCACTCCTACCGTCTAAAACTGCTCCTTTTCCATTACACTCTGTCACTTACCCTGCTCTACTTTCTTCCCAGCAACTTAATCATTCTCTGAAATCCTTATTTGTCTGGTATCTGCCCTCTCCACTAGAATGTACACTTTGAGAATAAGGACCTTGCCTGACCTGTTTTTTGCTGTATCCCTAGTTCCCAACAGTACCTGTGTGTAGCAGGTGCTCTGAAAATATTTGCTAAATGAACAAAACTAGGGCAGGCTTTGGTAGCAGATGCTGTACGTTCAATGGAAAACACTTAAAATGCACAACATAGGATTTCTATCTGCATGGGGCCTACATTTGCATTATAGAATAATATTAGTAACAACAATATTAATATGGAATAAATTAATACAGTGTTTTAACACTGAAATAGAATTGAGAGGCCTCTATCTTTTACTTTCACCATTCTTACCACTGGCAGAATGGTTTTGAATGGCACGCATTTGCACAATGAATTTTTTTCATATATATATATATATATATATATATATATATATATATATATATATTTATTTATTTTTTCCTTTTCCCTCAGTCTGTACCTCATAATTGTTTCAGGAATCTCTTTCCTTTCCTCATCCTTGAGGAATTGGTTCCACCATAACTTTCATTTATGCAAGTTGTTTCTTCAACATACAGATGAATTCGTTACTCATTCATTCATTGAGTAAAAAGGTACTGTGGGCCTATCATGTGCCATGCACTATTCTAAGTGAACAAGAAAACAAAGAGAAAGGACAGGGCTTCTTATCTCTGTAATGGCAAAGGGCAAGAAACAAAGACATTGGAAATCACTTAAGAGGCAGAGCATGGGCTAAGCATGGTAACACTACGAAGTTCCCTTTCTGTTCAATAATAATGAAGAGAGTGAGATTTAGAAAGGGACTGGAGAAAACATTTGTTCACTCAACAAACTATTATTGAGCCTCTTCTATGTGACATGTAACCCACTGGGCTGTTCAAAACGATTAGTGAATAAAATAGGCAAGGTAGTTCTTCCCAAGCATATAGTATTTTACTGTGGGAAACGATGAAAGAGACAAGAAAAAAAAATCGGTGATGAATGCTCTATGGAGAAGTCAAACAGGGTAATGTGATTAGTATTTTAGGCTGGGGAGGGGAAAATCAAGGAACAACTCTGAGAAGGCAACATTTAACCTAAGCTTAAATGACGAGAAGCAACCAGCCTTCGAAGACTGGGCAAAGAATGTTCTAGTCATTAAGTGCAAAGGGCCTAAAGCAGTAATGAGCTAGGAATATATAGAGGAGAGAAAGCATGTGTGTCTGGAGCAGAGGGAACAAAAAGGAGAATGGTTAGGAGATGAAAAGTGGGAAACAAGGGTCAGATCATGTAGGACTTCGGCTACTTTACGGAGAATAGACTGAGAGGTAGCTACTGTAATGATAGCTTTGGCTACGGTGGTAGCAGTCAAGATGGAAAGACATCAAATGATTAGGAAATACTGTTAACTTTACAGTGCAAATGTGACATCTAAGTCACACTTGGTCTGTGATGTTATCCCATTCCCATATTGGGGTGGGGGTAGGGTTGTCACTGCCAGTAAAGGCCCCCCAAAGCATAGGGTGCTGTGAGGTGTGTCTGACAACTAACCAGCCATACCTACATTTTTAAATTCTTGAAACTTTGCCTTGAATGGGCCACACATGCCAAATTCACAAGAAACCCTTTTGAAATAGGAAGGCTTCAACCGCCTGTGATAGATTTAGAACTCCACTTCTTGGTTTCACTTCCCAGCAATGGGTACAAATTAAGAAAATAAAACGGGCTCTTTCTCAAACCCTTAGCTTGCTTATCTTGTAAGCAAAGTAAAAAGTTGACACAGGGTGAGGACAGGTGCAAGCAGAGGGGCTTGGGACTGCATTTGGCTTTCAACATTTCCAACAGCCATTTACCCAGGCCAGAACCTCAAATTCTGTAAATTTGGGAGTGGGGGTAGTGGCAAATTCTTCCATGCCTTGACCCGATTTTATTCATTCTGTCCCCAAGCCCAACAAATTCCCTATAGGGTGGTTGAACCTAAGCTTATTCTTAATGCTTGTACGTTTCAGGGAGACGCAGGCTATCCGATTATTGTTTGCGTATTGCAAATCAGACTGCAATCCAGGGCAGGGGAAGAGGGGCGCAGAACTGCAAGCTAACACGACGGTTTTCTACTCTGCCCGCCGCCCAACCACAGCTGGAGTTGTGGCGCCCGCCTCTCACAGCCTTCCGTATCTCCCACTTGGGACTCGAGGATTGGATCTCATCTGGCACCGCCCCCTCCTCATAAGTGAAGGAAAGGGACACCGAGTTCCCGGAGCTGCATCTTCGCAGTTCCTTTGCAAAAGAGGAAGCAACTATAAACACGGCAAAGGCAAGGGTGCGCGGGGCACATGGAGCACGTAGACCCCATGGTCATGATACAGCGTTGGGCCCAGGGACCACCAGCCCTATGGTATGGTGGGAAGACCCGGGATCGTCGTTACAGACCGCCTGCCAGCCCTCTGTCCCCTGCGTCCCCCGCTGGTGCGCACGCCCCTAGCCACTCGGGCTGCACCTGCGCGCGACGTTCCCCGCCCCAGTTACCTTGTAGAAAGTGACTGTATCCAGGGGAAGGGAACCCTTGGTGTGCAGGCCGCTACTGCCCTGCGGAGCGCAGAGGAGCAGGAAGAACAAGAAAAACGCAAACAGTGGGAAGAGAGAAGCGGCGCAGGGACCGGTGGCAGCCATAACGCCGGAGCTAGGAAGGCTGTAGTTCGGCCAGCGCAGAGTCGCAGGTCACGTGACCAAGAGGCCCTCAGAGAAGCCCGACTCCCTCCCAGGATGAGGGGAGGGGCCACGTGAGGGGCGGGGAAAGGGGGGCTGCTGCACGCACGCACTCTACGAAGCTCGTGCCATCCAGAGTGAGAGGGAGGAGCGATGTGTGCGTGTGACGAAGGATGGGGCGGGGAAGAGTGTAAGATGGCTGCGCACGCGCACTCGGCGAGGCGCGCAACCGGCCATCCCTTTTCCCGTCTTCCTCCGCGCGAGGAGAGGCACGAGGCGCGTGCTTAGCATCTTTGCAGCGCCTGGTTCTCTGTCTTTCCTCGGCCGTGAAGGTGACGGCACTAGCCATTATTTCTTCCTGCCTGCAGGTCTGTCAGGCAGTCACCTGGGATCCACTTCTATCTTCGGTTAGTCTGCTAGTCAGTGTGACTGTGCTTACCGCCCTCACTCAGTTGGCCCAGTTTTACCCTCAGTCATACTCTGGTACCTCCCTTAGCCATTACCCCGAGGTGGTGAGCCAGGCTCGGCTCTTCTTCGGTTGGCAGTCAGGGCCATCCTGCCTTCCTACGAGTCAGATGGACAGGCCTACTCTGAGGTGCGTCCGTCACCTGGGTGGCGCCAGGCTCTCCTAAAAGCTGAGGACCCCGCCAAGCTAGGTCCTAGGCTCCAGGGAGATTTAAAAGCAAAAACACATAATCCTATTCAACAGATACTTGTTCTGCGGAATACATGGATGAACCAGACAGCTATGTAATTAAGGAACTCAAGTCCGGGAGGTGGAAACATTGGAATAGTAACATAACTCCTACGGTGTCATTGGGAGAAAATAAGACTAAAACAGTGTTGCGAAAACAGATTCAGTCATTCCTGTTCTGGAATGTCAGGGAAAGTTATAGACAGGAGATGACTTTTGAGATAGCTCTTATTTTGAAATAAGAGGAGGCATTTACAAGGCAAACACGAAAAGATAGTAATAGCAAGGGGAAAAGCATGAAAAATCTGTGAAGGTCACCAAGCTAAAAGGTTTGGAAGCATCAAAGGTTTTAACCAGGAGAGTGACTTCAAAGGAATGGATTGGAAAGGAGAAGGCTGAAGACACACCAGTTAAAGGTCTGTTGGAGTAGCCAAGGTAGGAGATGTTAATGTCCTGCGAAGAGGACAGAATAGTAGGATGAAAAGGTAAGAATGGGATTGAGTAACTTTTTTCAGGTATAACTCACACGACTTGAACAAAAGGATGTAAACGTAAGAGAATAAGTTATATAATGCATAATAAGGGAGGTAGCACCATATTAACCATGTATGTATTCAATAAGTGTGTGTGTACACCTAAAATAGCGAATCATCAGAGATAATGGGATCCAATCTTGGGCAGCCACTTTGGACAGAAATTTTGAGCAAAAGAGTATACAGAGAGAGTGTTTGTGTGTGTGTGTGTGTGTGTGTGTGTGTGTGTGTGTTGGAAAATTTTATTTCGACTTTTCCCTAATATATTTTTAGGTAAAATAAACTACATAGACAAATGACAGAAGTTAGAGGGGAGAAAAATTACTATGAGCTACGGTGGTTAAAGAAGGCTTCATGTATGATGTGGAGATGGAGTTAATTTAAGCCTGGGTAGAAAGAATATTTTAGGTGGAGAAAAGTGAAAAAGGAGCAGAAGTGGAAATGATCATGACACTTAGGGGAATGACTGGCTTGACTGGAGGAGTTCTTAAAACAGTAGTTAGAAAGACAGCTTTAAGCTCAGCAAGGGGAGAGTCTTGAACATCACACTCAGAATTTCCTGTTTTGTCCTGTAGTCCATAAGGAGCTATTAAGAGTTTTTAGAACCCTTTAGACATTTAGACTTTTTAAGTTATTCACTTCCAAGTATATAAATGCTTTGGGTACACCTAGTTAAAATGATTGATCAGGAGTGACTTTCTAGTAGTGATGGTTAGGTTAGAAGTAGGTTTTGAAAAAAGTGAAGGAAGTGGATTGGTTGGAGAGGGAAAGCTAATGTTGGTACTTTTTCTATGAATTGCGAAAGTACAGTAATTGTCTTAATGTTTCCTTTTAATAGCACCCTGGTCCCAGTAAGTTTTCTCATGATATTATTAGATTTTGGGCCACAGGACTCTGACAATCTACACAAATGAGCCAGGTATAACTCTCCATATTTAGGAAATCATAAAATCCCACAGTTGACACTAATATGGAAAATCAAAAAGCCCACCCTGGGTGTTGTATGGAGGTAGGGAGTAGGAGGCGGGGCATGTTTCATGAGTTGCACATCACTCAGTGGAGCAGCTGGAATAAGGTGGAAGAAAAGTGGCCTGGTTTGTTCAGGCAATTTATAAACTCTCCCATCTTTTTTCTAACATTGTCAAGCCAGTGAAACTCATCTCACTGACCTCTTGCCTGTTCCTTGTATATGCATGGCATGTTCTGGCCTCAGGTCTTTGTACTGGTTTTCTCTCTCTAGAACACTTTTCTTCCATACATTCACATGGCTGGCTCCTTCACTTCCCTCAAGCGCTCACATGTCAACTTGCTGAGATCTACCCTGATCATCATTTAAAATATTGCTCCTCCCTGATAACTTTGTGTTTTCCATCTCCCTACTCTGTTGCTCTATAGTATTTTTCAAATTGTTAACATACTATATAATTAGTTTACTTTTAAATTATCTGTTTCCCTTGAGGGCTGGGTTTTTGGGTTTTTATCTGTGTTTCCACCACCTAGAACAGTGTCTGGCACATGGTAAGTGCTCAGTAAGTACTTGTTGAGAGGATCTAGCACATGGCTCTCTTTCCAAATTCCATTGGCCCTTTCTGGATTCCCTTCTTAGACCCCAGACTGTCCTTCAGAGATCACTTAGCCAATTGTTTTTCCCCTGCAAGGTTTTGTTGATATTAACACTAACCTGACATAAATGTCTTAACCCTTAAAGCAGATTTCACTTGTTAAAAATTGTTATGGACGGAAATTTACTCCACAGTATGATTTTTCTCCAAGCCTCATCTTTCTTTAAGAATTATTTCAATATTTAATAACTCTTTACTCAACATCTTTCATGTGCCATACAGTTTGAGGGATAAGGGTTATGTTGATGAACAAAGTTTCAATACATGTGCTCCCTGCAGTCCTAGTGTGGAAGACTAATATTAAATAATTACACAAACAAATATATAATTACAAAGTGTGATAATTTCTAAGAAAGAAAAGTTTAGGGCCTATAAAAGAATATGATGGGGAGATTAATATGGATTGGAGTTCATGGAAAACTTCTACAAACAGGTATATTTAAGCTAACACCTAAAAGATGGATAAGATCCATCTTTAGCTCTCAAGGAACTTAATGAGACAAACATTAAATAATTCTATAAATAAATATAAAATTGCAGATTGTTACATGTTAGGAAGTATTTTAGGAAAAGAAAACAGCATGCACAAAGCTTTTAGGGTACGAGAGCTTGAAATATTGGAGGAACTAAAAGAATTCCACTCTGGAATCTTCCCTTTAGTAAAAAAATCATCAGCACAGAAGGAGGTTATATATACAGGGATTTAGGAATGTTTACTGCAGCATTGTTTGGAGAAGCAAAAAAGTAAAGAACAAAATTAAGAAAAACAAAATCTGAAAACAACCTGCATGTCTATCATAAGAAGAAATGTTAGATAAATGATCTTTTTTGGAATATTATACAGCTATCAAATGGTTTAGACCTATTTCTATTAAAGTGAAGAGATGAATGAAATAATAGATGAGAAAAGCAACATGTGATTCCATTTATATTTATATTTTTATTTTTTTAAATCATGATTATTCTATTACAATTGTCTCAGTTTTCCCCCTTTGCCCTCCTCCACCCATCCCACCCCGCTCCCCATTCCCACAGTCAATTCCCACACTGTTGTCCACGTCCATGGGTCATTCATACACGTTCTTTGTCGAGTCCCTTCCCCTTCTTTCCTCCATTGTCCTCCTTCCCCATCCCCTCTGGTCACTTTCAGTTGGCTCCATGTTTCCATGCCTGTGGTTTATTTTGTTCGTTAGTTTATTTTGTTGAATAGATTCCTCTTACAGGTGAGATCATATGGTATTTGTCTTTCACTGACTGGCTTATTTCACTTAGCATAATACTCTCCAGTTCCATCCATGTTGTCGCAAAAGGTAGGAGTTCCTTCTTTCTTTTTAATAATGCAGATTGATTTTATTTATTTTTTAAATGTCAAAATCCATTATAAAATATTTAAAAATTTAAATCCATTATAAAGTCTCAGGGATTAAAACAACATGACACCCGCACAAAAATAACCAAGTAGATCAATGAAATAAAATGAGTATTCTAGAAACAAATGTATATATCTGTCTAACAATGTAATATATGATTAAACTGATATTTCATATCCATGGGGAAAATAATGCTTATTCGACACACAGAGTGCGTGGACCACTATTACTTGAAATAAAACAAATATAGAGCCCTATTTCACACATTATACAAAAAACATTCAGGTGAGTTAAAAATCAGTATGTAAACTCTAAGGACTTTTAGGAGAAAATACAGAATAATCTTTTTCTTACCCCAAAGTAAAATATTCGAACCCAGAAGCCGTAAAGTAAAAGATTGACACTATGACTATATTAAACATTTGAGACTATACAGTAACATACATATAAAAAAGGTTAAAGGACAAGTAATAGAATAGGAAAGCAGTATTTGCAACACATCTAAAAAAGGGTTAATAGGGTTTTTTTAAGGGGAAAAAAATGCTACAAACATTTAGTCAAAAAATGGATAAAGAATACCAAAAAGTCTTTTAAAGCTTTTTAAAAATAATAGAAATAGGCCGGAAATACACAAAAACAGATTTAGTTTCAACAAATAGTAAAGGCACAATTAAAATAACACATCATTGTCACAATCAGATTAATAAGTATTAAAAATATTGGTAATACCAAGTATTGGTGACAGTGAAAGGAACTGGGTGTTCCTAGACTCTTTTTCTTCATCTTCTTAAAGCAGTCCCCTTAGCATATCTTGCAA